GGAGCGACTCTTCAGTGGCGTGCGCCTTGTAAGCATTCTATGTTTTTGTGATGCGGGAGGAGCTTTAGTGAGATAAGGTTGCTGAGACCCTAACCCTCAACTAGTAGCCCGCTGTGGGGTGCCTAATAGACAAGCTGACGGTTGATCAACATCAAAGTCCTTACAGATTGGTGCACCGCATCTGTCAAGGGTTAAAGGAGTCTCGTGATTGGCTATGGCGAGTCCCTAGGTGGTTCAGCAGCATACAGAACACGTTGGAACCTGCTTCTACACGCAGCCCCTGTCTACATCTGAACCATATGGCTTTCCTCCACGATCATCCGAATTTCTCATGCCTGCTGGTACGCGGGGCCAAAAGATTCATCAATATCCTTACCAACGGTCCCGGAATGCGAGATTTTCTCTGGAAGCTCTGTTGTATCGACGAACCTACTATCTTGGACTACAGATTGAGACTCTAGCAACGCATCGAGTGCTGCCACAAGCGCGACATCTAGGTATGCTAGGGCAGCGGCACAGAAATCGTTTGCAAGACCGAGAGGCCTTATTTCACAGGGAGCTGATGGAATGATGCTTGCAAGTGTAATAATTATTTGAATGATATTTTTCCCGCAATAAAAAACAAAAGTTGACACCAGTGACGACTTTTAGTAAAAACGACCATAGCACACTTCGAAACCTCCATGACGATACATAAGTTATCCTTAACTGACCATACTTCCCGAAGAAACGAAAACAACAAGTTCGACGAGATACAACATCCCAGCGCCTCTGATACCCAACAACGCGGAGCTCCTACGTGCCGATCCCTCCTTCACTTGCTCGAGTGTGCTGGAGTTGATATCACAAGGGGCTTGGAGGATCCTCCGACGGAGATTGAGACAGTCCACGGTAGTCGGTAAATATAATTACTACATCAGTCGCTGTATCTAGATCCAAGTACTCTGGGTCGCTGATCTGCATGTTGTTCATTTTGTGCGACAGGCTGAAGGTATTTATCGAGACAGTTTCCTGTGGAAAAGGGTAGTCCGTGGTTGAGAATGGGCTCTGTTGACCATATGGCTGGAAGTGCTGCTGTTGGCAGGAATCTCCAACTACAGGCATCGAGAGCGGGAGGTTGAGATTAGTGGAATCGTTGCCACCTATATTGAAGTCAGAAACTGTCCTCCTAGTACGATTTACTACCATAAAGGTCACTCACCAAAAGCCTGATGATAGAAGGGCATCTGACAGTCAGAAGGTTGAGGAGTTTCAGGCCAGTTGTCGTCGTTCATGGGAATGTTCAAATTTACTGCACAGAATGAGTCAGTAAAGCATGATGTTATGGAGTGTAGTAGAGTACCAAGGTGGTGGCGGGTATGGTATTTAAGAAAGTGAGCTTTAAATCTGTATCTGCGTTTTGCACCCCGAAAGTTACAGTTCGGCATTAAGCAATACACCTTGTGGCCGTGAAATTCCTTCTCATGGCGGCGCATGTCCCCCCGACGGAGACAAGTGACAGTACAACCTGCCACGCCGCAAGGAATGGGAATGCGCTGTTTTCTGATCATCTTAGATCGAGACATGGTTGCCCAAAAACAAGTGAAAGGATCGGGCAGTTCCTTTATATCTTTACGAGAAACGAAGGTCGTACATAGAGAGCTAGTCTCATGGCGCCTAGCTGGAAAATTCGGTCTGCCCAGCATGCGCATAATCGTCAGCCATACCTGTCAATAACAAACCTGCTTTCTTGAAACAAACAAGCGGCTCCTGCGGGGTGAAGCTGGCGCAGTCCAGGCCTTCGATCGAGATCCGGCATCAACAGCAGTGCTACCTAGTGTCCTCCACGTATCATCCGGGAAGTTCAACGCGCTAATCGTAACCATCCTGTACCCAACCCCCTGGTATATTTCATATGCCTTTTGCGCCTGCGTTGTCATCAATCAGGTTAGCCTCTGCTCATTTGTATACTTGCGTTGAAAGATAGACAAATAAGACCTCATACCAATCAAAACGACGGAGAGTGCGATTATCTAGAGCGAGACATAGGGTGGCCCAGATCCCCAGGAAACGGTTTATTCGAGTTCGCCTCGCTCGTACTGTAGTCAATCGTGGCATGAAAATTCGGCGAGCAAGCCATACAACAAAGTCGATCATAGATGCTGCACGTCATCAAATATTGTCAAAGTAGTATTTTCGTACAGCAGGGACCAGGACGGCAATAATGCGAGGAAAATGAGTAACCATGGCATGGTAAGACATTACCCCATCGAGACACTTCATACATAGCATGCTCTACGAGTTTGAGGCTGATTTCTTCAGCGAATCGGATCATCCACGATGGAATCTAGATTCGTTCTTTGATCGAGATTACCGCTTGGATAATGAAATTGAACTATCAAGTGAGACGAGACGAGAGTGAGGGCAGAAAGCTATCCATTTTTGCCCCTGACTTCTTTTGACAGAATAACCTGAGGATCTGAGCAGTGCAACAATCATGATAGCATGGACTGTGCATGAGGTACCCCCCTGGCCACAACGGAATTAGATGGCACACGCACTCAAAGTGTTGGAACTTGTAGAAAGAACAACATGCCTCGGCCGTTAAAGATGATTCTAAACTACCTATGCAGCGTTCCTACATGTTTAGCGCACATCGCATAGTTACCTTCTCGTTCAAATGTGCTGCGGGAAACCATTCCCAGCACATTCCCAGTCGAATACAGGACGGAAGAGCACGCTTAAACTGCAGCAAAACGATTACTGACTTATCGTAAAAATCAAACATCCGCTCAACCCCTTCGGAGGCGGAACAGGACGGCATGTCTGTCGAGATGAGGGGCTATTCGCTCGAACGTAGCCTTCCATCACCCGCAACACCAACCACCCATACACAGGTTTGGACACTGGTCAAACAAAAGAAGACGAGCGAAATAACAACCCTCCAGGGTCCAGGCCTGGAATGGTTTTTCGACCTTGGTTTGCACTGGCATGCATGTTGGGCCTGTCTGTGTGGCTTTTCAACAAATGAGCTTGGCGAACAGACGCCTGGACGTCCTCTTCTCCAATAAACATGATCATCAGCAACTACCACCACTTGGTAGGCCACATCCGCCATTCGAGCTCGAGAAGAGAAGTTCGTATATAGCTAATGACCTGCATGCGATGTTAACGATCTGGACGCATCGTGGAGATCTGCGGCTTTGTTCTCTCGTCTCGCAGAGCCTGCGGGATGCTTTGGAGCATCCTGGCACTCGGGTGTTTCTCAACACGCGTCCATCTGATCAAAGTCAAGTGAAGCCGCCTGAGGTGTAGTTTGAAAGCAAGTAGGCAGGCGCTGCAATGTTTGCAGACTCAGAACAACACCGCAAGCTTCAACGTTGGCTCAAGTTCGAATCATCTGCAATGGCCAGGAAGCTTGGATATCAACAGTCCCATTGCTCATCACACCCACCGATGTGTGTATGGAAACTACAACAAGGCTCAAGTACCTTCGACACGCACGGCTTGTGATGGAAGTCCCCGAACATCAGCCAACTTTCTCTTTATGCTTTTGAGATCGTTGGCGCGCCATCTAGCTGCAGCGTTGTGACGAACAGCAGCACCCAGTCTCAATTTACCGCGAATGGCGCCCAGCTCGATCATAACGGCTCGAAGAAGGTTGGTGGCGAATATGAGAGGAGGTTGGGAGCTCCTAGCACACTCATAGGGGATTCCATAATATGGTTTGAGTCCTCGACATATTAAAATCGATATGCTTCCTGATGCACTGCTCTACCGAAACCTTGCCCCATAAGTGGATATCTGGGGGGAGAGTGTAAACCTCTAGGCTAGTCGATTTCGGTGGAACCTGAGTTACACGTACCACTCCAGGCTTCACATTCAAACCAAGTCTAGCCAAAGCATCACAATGGCAAACCCGATCTCCATGTATTCCCAACACACTGGACGTTCTGGGACCAAACACCAACGACTTTCATAGCTGGGGTAGCCGCCAGGCAAACGATCAGAAGCCTTAATATCTTAGTATGTTCCAAAAAAAAAAAAAAAAGGCGTACCTCCTTCCCATACCGATGACAACGTCCAAATATTCGGAGGGGGGTGGCATGTCATCACGAGACACAAAGAAGCTCCTGCTGGGCCCCCGTGGAGAATTCTCCTCGGATCGCTCTTCAAAAACGGCTGTATCTAGCCCGAATAGAATGACCACTTATTTGCCTCTGGTCCGAGTTCTCATATCAGAACTCTCGGGCCGAGCTGCATAGTGGAGTCTAGAGCAATGCATCAAAACACCCCGCAGCTTAGCTGTCCGATAGTGAAATCGCCCTCAAGGAATGGAGGTAACCATGGTCGCGGTGAACTTGAACACAAGCAAGTGGAGGCAGCTCTGGAGGGGAAGGGGAGCCTTACAGACGTAGCGGGGCCCAATCGCTAGCGACGCATCCAGCCGTGGCCCATGGGTTCTGTTCAGGTCAGTACAGCTTACCCACCACAAGGAATATTGCGGGACGCTGTTGATGGAGTACGGTAGGTTGTAACGAATATACTGATCCATATATCGGATTTGCTAGCACACGGCGGAGTGACGACTGATCTGTCGAGGCCGTTGGCATTGCGGAAATATGAGTCGGAATTCTGGATAAGAGTTGAGCGAAGGGAGTATGTTACGACTTTTTCGAATCTTCATGTAAATGAATACCTTTGTTGTGGTGTAATGTTCCTCCCATCGAATGAATCTTCGTCTCAAAATGAAAGGAGCTATACTGATCACGTGGCCATAATAAATTCCTTCAGTGGATAATTTGCTTCTATCGAGTTATGCAGCTTCACTCTTATTCAATTTCTTTTCGTAGTTCTTCTATTAATCTGCTATGTAACTGTAAAGTAATGTATAAAGTTCGCAAAGGTCACGTGTACGTCTAATCCTTATCAAATTCGATAAGTGGGTAAAAATTATTTTATGATTTTCTGCATCTCGAATTACCAACACCCACCTCAAAAAAAACCCACGACTACTGAAAATGAAGCGCAAGCTGGATGCCAATGATGTGCCTACCCCAGCAGAGGAGTTTGGGGAAAAAGAAGAGCCTTCTACTTTTACAGATCTAGGGCTCGACTCCAGATTGCTGCAGGGCATTGCGAAGCAGAATTTCCACGCGCCAACAGTGGTGCAGAGCAAAGCAATACCATTAGCATTGGAAGGACGAGACATACTGGCGAGAGCGAAGACTGGATCCGGAAAGACAGCAGCGTATTTGCTTCCCATTTTGCACTTAATCTTGAAGCGGAAAGAGATTTCAGCGACCCAGTGCACATCTGCTCTCATCCTCGTACCCACTCGCGAACTCGCCGAACAAGTTACTAAAGCCGTCGAATCATTTGCGGCCTTCGCTACGAAGGACATTCGAGCTATCAACCTCACCCAGAAAGTTTCAGATGCGGTGCAAAGGTCGCTCCTCGCAGATTTCCCCGATATTGTTATAACCACCCCCGCTAGAGCTTCCGCGAACCTCGAATCATCAGCTCTATCCCTCGAACACCTTGCACACTTGGTTATTGATGAGGCGGACTTGGTTCTATCTTACGGATACGATGAGGACTTGCAGAACGTTGCCAAGATCATGCCAAAGGGGGTGCAAACAATCCTGATGAGTGCTACCTTGACGACTGAGGTAGAAACTTTGAGGGGCTTGTTTTGTCGGAACCCAACGGTACTGAAGCTTGAGGAAGCAGAGACTGAGGGAGAAGGAGTTAGCCAGTTTGTCGTCAAGTAAGTCGCCTTGTCCTAATTTTGACACAGACGCTGCATAGGTCTTCAGCCTAGATCAGCTTATGAATCAAAGAACTGGGAAAATTAATTCATACTAATACGGTACAGGTGTGGAGAAGACGAAAAGTTCCTACTGATCTATGTCATCCTCAAACTCAAGCTCATCAAAGGCAAGATCATTGTATTTGTTGATGATATCGATAGATGTTACAGATTGAAACTATATTTGGAGCAATTCGGGATCAAGAGCTGTATTCTAAACTCTGAATTACCCGTCAATACCAGGATCCATGTCGTGGAAGAGTTTAACAAAAATGTTTACGATGTGATCATTGCTTCAGACGAGCACGAAGTTCTAGGCGATGAGGACGAAGTAAAAGCCGACGAGGCGGAGGACGAGTCTACTCCTGCAACCGAGAAGGCGCCAATTGAGAATAAGAAGGGAGGAAACCCCGATGAAGTGAAAGAGCCATCGAAAAAGAAGCGAAAGACGGCGGAGAAAGATAAGGAGTACGGGATTTCAAGAGGTATTGATTTCCAAAATGTTGCATGCGTGCTGAATTTTGATCTACCAACTTCATCCAAGTCATATACCCACCGGATTGGCCGCACAGCTCGAGCCGGTCAGACTGGAATGGCCTTGTCATTTGTCATTCCGGCCAACTTATATCAGAAGCACATGCCAACTAGCATTGCATCCTCAGCGAATGATGAGAAGGTCTTGGCAAAGATCATGAAACACCAGGCGAAGAAAGGCAAGGACGTGAAACCATATCACTTTCCCATGGAGCATGTAGACGCATTCAGGTATCGAATGGGCGATGCTCTCCGAGCTGTCACGCGAATCGCAATTCGAGAAGCGAGGACCAGAGAGTTGAGGCAGGAGCTAATGAAGAGCGAGAAATTGAAGAGGCATTTCGAAGAAAACCCGGGCGATTTGCACCATCTCCGTCATGATGGGGAGTTGCGACCTGCGAGAGTGCAGTCTCATCTGAAGCACGTGCCCAATTATTTGTTGCCGGAAGGAGGCAAGAAGGCGATTACCCCTGGAGATGTCGGATTTATTGGACTTCGATCGACGAGCGAGAATCGGTACAGAAAACCTAAGGCGGGGAAGGGACGAGGGAAGAAAACTATGGGAAGAAAGGTAAACCCTTTGAAAACATTCAGGGGCAAAGCGCGGAAGTAGTTGCAGCATAGGAAATATACCACGGTTTTGATTTGGCCTCAAAAACACGTCCTACACGATTCGCTTAGTATGCGTCAGTTGTTTTGGGCGTGTGGTTTGTTCTCTATAGAATGCTAAAAGGTCAATAGGATTGTTTGAAAGTTACGTGTCCATTTATAACCCAACCCTTTGGATTCATTTGCAGTCATTGATCTGCCAAATATTCTATCTCATGTTTCTGCAGTTCTTTGGCTCGGCCCAACTAAATAACATCAATCACGGCTTTACCAAAGCTGCTGCCAATCAAGATATTTTTATCATTTACCTGTCTACCCAAAACTTGGTTAGTCGCCGCCCATTTGTGTTTCTTGCCAACGTAGTCATTTCCTAAAGGTCAAATCTCTCTTCACCCGGGCACCATCTTCCAAGAGGGCTTCTTCACATCGAAAGGACTAACTCCGAAGTTAGCTAAGGAACCTGATGGCAATTAATCCTTGAAAGAGAGAGGAGCAACAGGCAAAAAGCGAGCAACGGCACGTATTGGCGCATACTGGTGCCATCCATGTTCAACCAAAGAATCTTCTCCTCAAACCAAAATTCGGTCAATTCAATAATTTCACTCGCTTGTTTGATCTCTCTACATTTTAAGCTGCTACTTTTCACCGGAATTTACTTTTGCTCGCGGCCGAGCACTTGAGAGTTTTTGATAACCCTCTTGGTGTGCAAGTACATGATCACTCCACTCATGTGCTTCGATTAAACAAGCAAGTACATTTTACTTAGCTATTCGAAAGCTCTTTTTTTCCATTTCCTTGCTAATATTCTCAGTTCGTCCGTCACTTTTTGGCACACTTTGCCCCCACCTCACCTATTTGGCCTCGGATAGATTCACTCCACGACTTCTTCTAATACTTCAACACAACTTGCTTCCGCTTCCCGCTTCCTCACATCTAACCATTCATTTATACAACTAGTTTCTTCATCTCAATTACTTATTTACTCTTCTGATGATCGATGTCATCAACCCTCGATTCCCCTCGCTTTCAGTCATTCGATAATCAATTTGCGACCAGTTGAGTTTGCCACATTCTGGTGCCATCCTTTTACTACGACCCTTCGCCTTCTGTAGGAGGAGATATTCATCACATCAATTCACCCATTAGCTACATACAATCAACTTAAACACATCTCCATTAACTTCTCTTCTCAACTCCGAGCCTATATCGACATATCGGAAGTGGAACTGCCACTGGTCTATTCCTCTTCTGGAGAGTCATGAATTAGCAAACAACACCTCCTGCACCCATTCAACTCTCCGCTTTTACATGATGTACTCGCCCCAGGGTGATGCGGAAAGTTATGGGGGGCGAGGTATGAGACATACTCAAAACATGAGAGCCTCGACCGCCGAGAGAGAAACGGATAAATACTATCTTCAACAAGATCATATGAGAAATCCCAATTGTCGCAACTATCTTTCGGGTATCAATCAACAAACTCTTGACGGATTTCCAATGTCAGCAGCCAGCGAATGGCCCGAAGAGGATTTAGCACCCTCACCTTTTGAGCGCAAGCGAAATGGGACTCCGTCAATGCTGGAAAATGTCTCTGCCAAACGCCATCAAGCTATCTATGAGGATGGTGACTTTCAAGCACCCCAAAGAGTCCCGGAGAACATGGGTCAGTCGCGGCGCCGGCGTTCGCCTATTGACAATCGTCAAGCACAATACGTTGATGGATTGGCAGGACGGCAATACTCTGCATCGAGGCAAACTGGATTTAAAGTTCGTGACATTGATATTGAGGACAGCCCTGTGAGCAGAAAGTTGGATCCAAGCTTTTGGGAGAACAAACCCCTCTCAAACCAAGAGAGATTTCTTAACGATCGAGCCGCGCCAGTCGCCAATGAGAAAACCCGTTATATTCAAGCGCAAACACAGGAACCACAGCACCAATACTCAACACCCTCTCGGAAGCAATCTCAGGCTACGCAGTACAGGACGCCAACAAGGCTTTCTCACCGCAAGCATGAAGGGATTTCTCAACAACATCCTGTCCAGGCCGCACGGCTGGAAAGTCCCATTTGGGCAGAGCAAAGACAGTCCCCACAATACGCCATCAGTGTTGCCGGCAATTATGTGCCTACAAAAGCAGGTAACGCCGTACAATTGCCACATCCTCAAAGTGAACAGTCCAGGTCTTATGAGTTGGATCCACGAACCCCCGACACCCATCGAGCCCGAGGACAAAGTGTTGCTCCCCATACTCCGGCAAGCCACAGGGGTCGCAGCAGTTCACACCGAGTGCGGGCTGATCGCGGATCTCGGAGCAGAAGTAGGAGTGTAATTCAGCCTCAACCAAACTCGACCAATCATCGTGAGAGGAGTAAAAGTGTATACCACACGCCGTTACCTGCCGTGCCACTTGCCCTTAGTACGCCGCAATTTACTCCCAAGCAAAACCGGCAGGCATACGCAGAGGGTTTATCCGATGCGGAAAGTCCGATGATGATGGAAGACTTTTTTAAAAAAGGCAGACAATCCCGTATGGCTCAGAACACAGTCAAATCTGAAGCGAGCCGTTATGATATCCGAGAGGAGCTGCGAGAGCAGCTGCCACAGAATGACATGTTCACCAACAACACACGGAGGTCACAAGCATCAGTGGTACAAACCCCTCCACCAAATGCACGCAGACATCTGGAGCAAGAAGCTATTGATCTCATCTCACCTGAAATAAGCAACAGCATGCGGCCCCCACCAACTCCCGTCAGATCAATCCCTATGAGAGACCGCATCGCCCCTGCCAAACGGCCTTCTGGTGGCATCAAGGCTTCACTGTCAAAGCCAAACGTTGCGGCTCAAAGCAAGCCAAAGCTAGGTCGGAGTTCGACGGTAGAGACATCACATCAAGACATGCCCTCAGCTGAGTTTGAAAGGCAAAGGAAACTTGCTGAGAGGATCCTTGAGAAAGAAGAAGATGCCAAGAAAGAAGCCTTGCAGTTGGAGATCTTTGGTGAGGTGCTGCCCGAAGATTCAGAGAGCAAGAAGAAGCGCGAAGAGAAAGAACGTGCTGAGAACCAACGCAAGCGCGAGGAAGCCCAGACCGAGAGGCTGATGAAGCAAGAGGAGAAAAGGGTGGCCGAGCTAGGAAAAGTTAGGCTGAGAGAGGAAGCAGCGGAGAAGGCAAGAATTGTTCGAGAAATCGAAGAAGCGAAGAACAAAGTCCGCCGAGATGCAGAGAGGAAGAAGCATGAGGCAGCGGAGGCTCAACAGACCGAGAGACTTCGACAGCAAGCTGAAGAAAGGATTCAAGCCGAGCGAGAGAAGAAAGCTACTGAAGACGCGGAGCGCGAAAGGGAGAAGCAAAAGGACAGCATTCAAGTCCAAGCGGAGGCGATAGCGAAAATCAAAGCGAAGCAAGAAGAAGCTAAGAAGCAAGCAGCCTCACTAAGCTTTCCAAAGTTAGCCTCCAGCGGTGATAAAGCTCGCTTTGCTGCGAACCCTGCTGACAATTCAGAGGTTGCTGATGCGGAAAACCCACTTTTTGTTCGAGACGATCCCCCCAAATTGAGGTAAGCATAAAAAGGTGATTCATTAAAAACAAGAGACTGACAAAGGCCAGCGATGATCCAGTCCAGGAGTCGACATTGCCAAAGTCTTACGGTAATCAGTACAATGTTTGCGATATCGATGAACGTGCTGCGAAGAAGCCCTCTGGACCTACGACTGCTGCTGAGGCTATGAAGTTCCATAATAGTCGCGAGGGGACTTCTAATTATCGAATAGAAAGAGAAGCTTTTGAAGCAGAGAGGGCTTTAGAAAGGGTAAATAAAACCAAAGCAGCCCTGGACAACCGCTGGGAGAGAACGAAATCAACCCAGCCCGAGCCAAGTCCTCCTCAGAAAGCAGCCAAGGCGCCGCAACCTCCCCGTCCGGTATCTTCTATGTTTAATCCCAGCACGAACCGTAATTCATCCACCAGCAAACCAACAACTGCTCATAACCGACTGGCAAAACCAAAGAGCTCCGCCTTCTTTCGGTCAACAACTAATACCTCCAGATTCGGCAGCGGTTCAACTAAGAGACCGAATGCGAACTTCCGTGAACAACATGGCCCTTCATCAGTGTGCTCTAGCTCAGCTTCGGAGTCCGTTGCAAATATCATAGCTGATCCCCAACAACAGAAGCGTCTGCGAGAGCAAGGGGCTCGAGACCAGGAAGACGAGGCTGTAAAGGACAGGCAGAGGAAAGATGCGAGTAATGCAAGAGCTCGCAAAAAGGCCGATGAACGAGCACGCGAGAAACAGAGGCTCAGAATCATTGAGGCCGCAGAGGCAAATGGGAAGGGAATTACCGATGAAGACTTGAATGCCGAACTTGAGGCTTTCATGGAAGAGCGAGAGGTAAGAGTGTCGAATTTTAAACAACCATGCAACTATCGCTAACGAACTGTGTAGAGAAAGAAACAGAAGGTTGCTATGACTCACGCCCAGAAGGATCAAAGGAGAGCTATGTTTCCTCCGATGAGCTCTTTTCTTCAAGGAAATCCCCAACCTCAACCTCCGCAAAAATTTAGTCAATTGGATAGCAACGATGAAGACGATACCCCAGAAGGCCAAGATCGCAGAGCAAATAGGGCCGCAATTCGAAAGACCTTGAACGCCACCGCTCAACAGCGCAATGCCCATTTCAATGAAGTGGCAGCCAAGAAGTATTGCAGAGTCTTTGGAGATGATGATGATGATGCACGCGGACGGGACTTCCTCGCAAACATAAACGTTACCCCACCACCTAATCCCTACCCAAGCTCTGAGGAATCCGAAGAAGATCCTGACGACGATCCTCTTCCCGAACCGTCCAAGCCTACCAGTGCGCATGCTTCACAGGCCGAGAATGACGACCAAGAGAGCAGTGATGGGGAGAGTGAGCCCAGCGAGGAAGACCCTGATGATGAGCCAGCTGAGGGGCTTCCCAGACCAAATCCCGCGGCTTCAAACGATCTCGATGTCAAGGTCGTAG